ACTTGTTCATCCACAACACCATATTAAGTTCACCATTGCCTTAAATCATACTTAGCACAATTTTCTCCTCAAAATACCTTATATAGCCGAATGGTGGACAACCAAGTGGCTAAGAATTTTTCTTGTGTTCTCAAGGTTCATTTCTAAGCCTACACTAGTTCATCCAATTACTCAACAACACCATTCATCATGCCAAATGTCCAATTGCACAATCACATCCTTGACACCTCACTCAATTCAAATTATTTCAAATCTCCCACTTAAACCACTAATCTCCATTTAATTCATAAACTATTTATAAAATCCAAAATTTAATATTCACCAAACCTTTAATTGCCCTTGAATAGATGAATTCAGAGTTTTTCGGTTATTCGGTGAAATCACAGTTTTAGCCTATTATGTGCACTGTTGGCACGTTTCCCCAAAAATCCTAAATTTTAACAAATTTCATCAACAATTATATTTCTTAGTCCTAAATACATTTTTCAACTTATATTCAAGCCAAGAGCACAAATTTCACTCGACATGTTTTTCGGTGCAACTGTAGTACTGTATTTTCATCCAGTAAAAATACTATTCATCAAATTTCCAGAAACTTGCCTAACCACTCATTTTTTCATTCTGAATCCATTTACATGGTTACTTTTCTCATTTGAGACCTTATACTATCGTTTTACTATTTAGGGTTATGTATTTGTTAAATTACCGTTTTATCCTTTTTACGTATTTTGACCCAGAACTCAGGATTTTCACTAATCCTACCCTTAAATTATCATTTTAACTGTAATTAAGTGTTTCAAATATACGAGGTGTTATAGTTGCAGTCTATCAAGAAAAACGCATTTGTTCCCAAGATTATGACTTTTGACCCCCACGAGTGTACGGAACCGGGTGGAAGGGATAACAGCCAAATTTTGGCTTTTGACCCCAGAAAATGAGGAAACAACCTCATTCTCATGCTTTTCTCTGTAACACCATTTGCTCTAAAATTATCACATATGTCTAAAAAATCATTGAGGTGAGCATATAGATCTTCATTAGGAAGACCATTAAAAATTCCAGCTTCCCTAATCATGTTAAACATGATAAGTTTAAGCTCAAAGTTTGGGGCTGTGACTGGAAGAAAAACAACTCCTTTTTCTGGTCTGTTCCGAGATTGAGTAGCCAGAGCTCTAAATGCAGGCCCAGGGGGTGGTGATGGTGTTACTTCAGTTTCAGTCCCATTTCCATTGTTATCAATGTGGTCAGCCATCTCTCTTTCTGTTTCAATTTGCCTTTAGGATTCTTCTTCTTTGGTGGAGAGTACATTCAGGTTTCGAATCAAGAAATCAAAGTTAAAGAAAGGTCTTTCAGAGTTAGAGGAATAATTAGATGAATTAGGGAATTCACTCATAAACCATTATACAGTAAGAATAATTCAGCAGTGTAAAGAATAAATGAATAAAATAAGAAAAAATGAATAAATAAAATAAATACAAGTTAGTGAAATAAAAGAACACAATTTAAAATATGGGATTTAGCAAAAACTATCCCCAACAACAACGCCAAAAATTTGTTGGGTCCTCTTGCAGTCTATCAAGGAAAATGCATTTGTTCCCAAGATTGTGACTTTGGTCCTTCTTATATTTAATCAGAGAAAACACAGTTTTTCCCTAAAATAAAGATCATTTCGCGCAAGTGCACGCATCAAGTAATAAAAGGGGTGTTTAAGTCCAAGATTATCATTCCCACTAAGAAAGTATTGCTAACTGATATTTTAAGCTGTGTTAAAGAATGGAAAGAATAGGTTAACAGCATTGAACTATCCAGGTTAACGTTCCCAAGTATCCCAAGAGTGTTCCCTTGTGACAAATGGTTCGGTTTACTTCAAACAATTCCTCGCGTTGTTATATACTCAAGTCATTCCTAATAAAAGGAGGAACAATAGATCATAGGAATAATTGGTTGAGGTGTGCGGTGTGAAACAAAATAAAATAATGCAGAAAGTAAAGTGAAATTTAGCAAAGATTAATACGGTGGTGTGATGAACAAAACGATAAATTAAAGAAAGGGAATGGATCCACTAATCCATTGTTAAACCAATTGAAATCTCGGCTCAAGACCTTAACCAATGAATTTGTTCAGGTCTCTATAATGCCAACTTTGATTCCTCAACTCATGGGTTAAATGGTATACTCTCAATAATGACTCGGCACAGAACCTTCATGAACGAGGTGGCCCCTTATTCCTAAGGCGACTAGTGAAAGTGTTACTACACTACTCATTTTTCTCCTATTGTTTATTTGTCTGAAATCCCTCCCTTTTTGGAAGTTCCTTTCTCAGTCATGCTCAAGGTCAGTTGATGTAAGATATTAAAACACTTAAACAATAGAAATCCAAAAGGTTTAGTCAGATAGTTTCAAAGACAGCGATTTAACAGTTTCATAGTTTCACCATTGCAAAAAGAAGTTAACTTATGTCTAAAGACATCGGTTCAATGTGTATTTTCCTCACTCGCACACTTTCTTGGAAAACTTTTCAGGAGGTCACACATCCCAAAATTACTGCAAGTCAAGCACACTTATTTATGGAGTTCTTCCGTTCCGGGCTACCGAAAAGTAGATGCATCTTGTTAGTATACGTAGTACCAATTAATTCTTATAAGCTATCCCAAACTGTGCAGTCTTATACCTGCACAGTCTTTGGAATCCGTATTTTTCAAGTGTCGATTCAATTCATTCATGTAATCCCTGCCGGAAGCCTGTCAGGAGCCGCTCCTTGTCCATGCCCTTTCGCACCGGCGATCACTCCCCGCCCTCGTCAGTGCTCGAGATGTTACAGGGACAAGGTCGATCTGTCTTTTAGCACAGATTCTCGAGGACGATCTTCTGACCTTGGTGCAGCAGCTGGTCGCCTGCTCTGCTTTTTGTCGCGATGTCCTTTGGCTGCTTTGTTGTGTGCACTGTGGTGTACTTTATCTGCTCTGTCACGCGCTGTAGTGTCCTTTTTGCTTTTAAGAGTTGACTGCAAAAAGAAAAAGCAACTGTTAGTGGAATAAGCAAAAGATAGTTTGATCTTATCTTGTTTTACCCTTTTCTTCTTCTACTTTAAATGTTGTAGGTCGTTCCCTCTAACAAACTAACATTTATCACATTTATACTAATATTTAAACTAAACTAACTAAAAAGAGACCAAACGATCGGCGTTCCGCACTAAAAAATGAAGCAGAGGAGATGAATTTTTGTCCCATCAATTATCATATTAATCTTCTGTAATTATTATTGTCGCTCTACAAATAAAGCCTCCACTATGCTATTGTAATACAATAATTTAAACATTTGCTTCTTCTTTCCATGATATTCATCAGTATTCTTCTTTACCTAATTCATTGGCTATCAAGTTTTGAGCTTTTTGCATCCTAACCACCAATCTTGATTTCCTCATTGATATATAAATATTCACTAATTTCCTTATGAACATTTCTATTATTTGCATCTTTCTTGGTAGGGGGTGCATAACCTTTTTTATTTCCACAACATTTCATACCCTTAATTCATTAAACAAAATAAAGATTCTCATTATACTATTTCAGTATGAATAATTATTCCATTAAAAAAAAGGGCCGATTTTTAAAACCTCCTCCTAGGGAAAAATATTATTTAAAAAAGTCATTCTTTTCTCTTAAAGCGCTTTATTCCAAGAGTATAAGATTTAATAGCACTTGTTGGATCACTAAAAATGCTTAGTTATGTTATTTTTGCAAAAGATGCATCTGTATGCAATTTCCCGTCATTTCACTATTTTTTTTGGGTACATTGTTATTTCACCACTTAACCTCCTATTGCCAATGTGACTCCCTCTAACTAATTAACCTCCTACAATCTATTCTTCCTGAAATATACATACCAAACTTTATTCTCCTTATTAAGAGCCTGGTTGATGCCTGAAATGTTTTAAACAAAACTGAGTTTCATAACGAGATAGATTATCTAGATTTTATACAGAAGTTATTATCTTACAGAAAGTAGTTGCCCCATCAGAGTCATATCTTGATGCAGAAATAAATAAAATCAAATTGAATATTAAAAAATAAATCACTCTCTCATAGAGCTACCAATATGAAGTTCATTCCCCTGCCCTTCGTTCCCTCATACTCCTCCATCAAAACATAATCTAAGTAGTTTTAGGACATAGCATGTTGTTTTTATGCTTATGAGGCAGAGCTTATGTGTTTTAGAACTTTTGCTGTGTAGCACTGCTTGGCTCCACTGCACTTACAGAATTGGAGTTGAGGGTGAGTGGGTGAAGTTTGATACATTCATGCTAGTACACTCTATGCTTGTTTAATTTGATAACGTGGAAATTACAATTAAATAGACCTTCCCTAATCACCCTTGACTGGCATGGCTAACATCCAAGATTCCCAAGCAGTCATTATATATTCACCCCTCATGAAACGCAGAGACAGCCCTTTAATGATAATATATTATCTCCAAAAGCTGTATCCACATGGTTATCTGTAAACTCACGTGTTTTTTGTTTTTTTGTTTTTCCAAGGGTGTGCTCGTCTATTTGAATGAGATTGATCTCCTTTGTGACTTAAAGCGTAAAGGTTTTTGCTACTGGCTCAAAATTACTTCGCATAGGATTTGAACTATAGAGACCTTTTAGCCCCAACAATCCCGCTTTTTGGGCACAACTCGCTTACTAGCTATGCCATCCTTGGGGTTGTAAATTCAGGTGCTTTGCTGAATTCATTTACTGATTTACACTTGTTTCATGCACTTGAGTAGCTTATGTTTTGTCATTTCTCTACCAAATCATTTTTAACTATAAATGATTTATGTTTCATGACAGCTTCTTTGCAATTATACAAGGGTAAGGTTGCGTACAAAGATTTCCTCCACCCCACACTCGCTAGTCAGGTTTAACGGGGAGTGATTTTTTGATTTGGTTGAACGCCTAAAGCTGCTTATTGAGAAAAGACAGTCAACTATAGGAAGCTACTTTGTGCCGTGTTACTGAAGAACAAAGTAGAGTTTATTTATCCCTGGCATTTTGTCTTTTAATGATACATTAACAAGAAAAGCGAGAGTTTCCCGCATACCTATAAGTGGATCCAAACTAAGATATGACATGTCTATATATCCTATGTTTGGCCTAGAATCGTTGAAAACTACAGATGTTGCACTACTCCCTCTTCGATTTGGAGAGGGCTTTCTTCCTCTGTGAAAGCATGTATCTATACATGTGAGGACTACCTGCATAGATTTATGCCATCTAATCAGTTACAATACAAAGGTCAGTGAAACAAATATTAGCCTAAGGGCATAAAGTAGGTAAGAAAGATAATTAGTTTTGTTCATGCCTGGAACGTAGATTCCCAATGCAATAATTGCGGCATAAAAGTAATCAAATGACGAGTTCCATTTATTGGGCATCCTTATGCAATACTTCTCAGATGCCTGAAAAATAATCTCTGTCATTAACTTGAAATTACAAGTTTTTGACAAACCAGCTTATCAAATAGTTTTTGGTAGAGCCAATCATGAGTAATAGACTATCAACTTTCCCCATTTCTCATTTATCAATTTAATAATCTCATGAAATTGCAGATGGTCAAGGTTTTGAAATATCATCCTACAATAAACTCAAGGGAAAAGCATAATATTTTCACCAAACTTCACCAGTCACCATGTATTAGGAAGTCCTCTTAGAAGACTTGTCCTTTGTTAGATAAATAAATAAAGGGTAGAAGAGCAAGATATATATTCGTGATCAACAAAAACAACACACAACCTGCAGGTTAAGACCTAAAGATTCTAAAATCATTGCGGACATTTGCTATTGAAATTCTTTACCTTAATGAATGGCAAGGCAATGTATATTAGGCCAACTTCACTGCTTATGCCCGTTGGATACATAACTAAGAAGGTGCTATATCTGCAAAGGAAAAATAGTACTCAATATTAGAGCAAAATAAGATTTACCCAGTACTATACTCCTTGAAGAAGGCTTAACATTCAGACTTCATACCTAAGCCACAAAAGCCATGATGGGGCAAATCCAAAAGCCTCTTTAAAGCCAAAGAAAGAATAGCGAATGATCTGCAATGGTGACAAAAAAAGATGATGAATATTGATCTTCGTTAATATTTCTCTTACCCTTTCAATCAATGACATCACCATTGAAACAAAGGGATATGGTTGTCAAAAACAAAAGAAGAATTACATGAGAGAATGGTGCACCAAGCCAAAAGATTTGCAGTCATCTCAGCCACTGCTTTAAATTGTAGACTATTAGGTTCTTATAACCAACAAATCTAAAAATTAACATTTTTATGTAAAACAGACGCACTCAGCAACCACTAAGCAATAATTGAAATTGTCAATCTCTACTTGCAAATTTTGTTTTTTTTTTTTTGTAATGATACTTGCAAAATTTTCATTTAAGATTTTTATAACATTTCAAGATTGCCTCTACAATGTTGGCAGAAGAAACAGGAATTTGTAATTTGTATAATTTGACTTCCAAATGCAAATAGTATATATGAAAGCATATATATGCATTAACAAAAGTAACAATAGTATATGTCAGGATACTCAATTCAATTCCAATCCTCTTAATGCAAGTTTATCGCTAACATAGTCACATTTGCTTTGTTAAACAGTAGCATGGACTAATCCAAATTTATAAAGAGATAATTCCAAAAATTTGCTTGGCCTATATTTTACATTAGAGGCTAATTTGAAGATAGAAAAAGAAGCAACCTGAAGATAGTTCAGTTGCTGTTATACTAATTCAGTGTTTCTCTTTTCTAGCAGGACTGGTGACTTGGACTTAAGGCAAATGTTTTCCAAGACACTCTAGACCCTATACTTTCCTTCACTTTAACAGCCAACTCCTATGAAGAGCATTCATCCCCTGAATGAGTTATCAACTTATATACCACGGGATCCACAATGCATAATCTACTCATCATTAATACCAAGTAATAAATCTACTGTAGTTTTGCGGTTTCTTCTCCGTCTAGTATTATAATTGAAGTTACAAATTGCAATCAGAAAATGAAAAAACAAGTGATTAAGTACAAATTACAACAAAAATATTGGAAATTTTAGTGCTCGTTCTCAGTGTGGTACGACTCATTGAGACTTTCTTCTTATTCATTTCATTTTTTTTTGCGGGGGGGGGGGGGGGGGGGGTAATATCATCATCATGCAGGAAATATTCCATAACTCATAACCATCCTGTAGCAGACAGTGCTAACTTATTTGTTTTGGCTAATATCAAATGAAACAAACAATAAATCAGACAGATAACTTAAATGTCACATGAAAGAGCAATCATGAAAGGCTTGCCTCTGTGATAGACCAGCTGATTAGTAGGGAGCTAACGAGTACATGATCCCGAGTCTGTCATTTAAAGATGTGGCAAACTTTCACTAAAAGAATAATACTGTATGCTAAATTATGAATTAAATGACATTAATAGAAGAGAATAGAAGTTCAAATTTGTCTTCACCTCAGGGAAACTCCATAAGATACCCCAAGTCAGATACAGCCTTGAACCAATCTGTGGCAATGTTGCTGATACTGGAGATCTCACCAGCCCTTAATCATTGAAAAAACAAAGACAATGTCCATAAACAAACTAACTAACTCTAACATCAATTTTTCATTTTTACAACGATTAAGCCCACACATTGAGCAAGGGATTACTCACCTACCAAACCATGAAGAATCTAACACACCATGTAATCCAACGCCGCACCAAAAAAAACAAAAAAAAGGAGAAGCTTGAGATAATTCCCACAAGAAATTTGAAAACATTCCAAGAAAACTAACTAAAGGGTGTGTCCATAGTTCAGAAAAATCAAGTCTTTCTAACGAACACCTCTAATACAGCAGCTGTTTGAGCATAAAGCAAAGGCTTTTCTGCTGCATTGTAAACATGTTCATGACCCGATTCCTTCAATGTCTTCAAAACAAGATACAGAACTTGAAACCTGCGCAAATTAAGAGAGACCTAAGCACTTCCCTTGAGAAGAAAAAAAAAGGATCGGAGATAACAAAATAGGAGATACCATCCAAAGAAAACCGTCCAGTTGTAAAGGGAGAGGTAGAGGCGCCTGAGAAGTGAGAAGAAACCAGCCATTGAAAAAAGTGATGAACAGAGATCTGGGCGGAGAAACACTATAGTGCAAAATTCACACGGTTGAAGATGAATGTTTTAAGGGAAACAAAGTTGTTAATTATTAAAGGAAGATGAAAGATGAGGTGTGTTTGGTTACAGAATTTAAAATGGTTCAGTTGGGTAGCTCAACTCCTCAACCACTTTGATGTCAATAATAACAACCGGCGTTATAAAACTGTTACCGGTGATCGACTCAGTATTGGATTGTCAATAGTTCAACCGGAGATAAAATAACCTCTCCCATATAATAATAATAAATGGAAAAAATGTTTATCCGCTTATTGGATTTATTCTCAAAACAACTTTGTTTTGGTATTAAAATCTTAAAAAATTATAAATATAAAAATTATTATAATTCTGAAATAAATTAAAATTATAAAAATATCATGATTTCCGTCCCAAAACAATGTCATATTAGACTTACTGCAAATAACTTATCTGCAATAACGGCAGAAAAAATGAATCTATAATAAATATTAAATTATGAATATCATATTTAACAAAAAAAAAAAAACTTAAGTGATAAGCATTTTTTTTTGTAAGAAGTGATAAGTCTTTCTATTCACGTTAAAGGGGACTCGAATTTGAATTTTGTTGTATATATTTTATACAATTTAACATAAAATCAGTTGAACTAAAAATGACTTTTTGTTCTTCTCTTAAAATTCCTAAACAATCGTTTTTCTTTTGGGATTTGGCCCTTTTTTTAGTACTCAAACAAAAAAAAGTCCTAAACAATGATTTAGAGCCTGCTTTTGACAAATTTTTTAAGTTAAAATTTAAAAAAGTGTTTAACAAATAATGTTAAAAGCTATTTGATATTTGTATAAAATTATTCTTATGATTTTGAAAGGAGATAGATAAAATAATTTATTATTAAAATAAATTATACGGGTAAAGAATAAAATTTATAAATAAAAATTTAAAATAAAGGATATAACATCAAAATTCAAAAAGCTGACATACATCTTTAGAAAAGTTTTTTTTTGGAAATATCTTTAGAAAAGTTTCTCATGTAGCATTTAGCTTTTTTCTTTATTATATATAAAAAAATTACTTTTATGATAAAAGCTTATGTAAAAGGGTTATATTTATCTCATTCAACATGAGGTAACCATTTTTTTACACACACATAACAAAGGTGGATCCCACTTTTATTTTTTTTTCTCCAATCATTTGTGGGTCCCTCTTAGAATTTTATTTCATTGACATCAGATAACTTACCTACAACAACATAAGAAAAAGATTTCCCTTTGTAAAATAATATTTGGTTAAAATTATGTTTATAAGGAGAAGAGAAGCTAAAAATAAGAGCTCTCAGACAAGTCTAAAATGAAAGTTAATAAAAAATTATAATTCAATTATTTTGGGAATACATTTTTATGTTTTTTTAACAAGGTATGTGAAAAATCTTAGTCATTTAAGAATAGATTGATGATCATAGAATAAATAACAAAGATAATAAAAAAGAATAGATAAACATTTTGATTACTCACAATAAACCATCAATAAATTATGGGTTTTATTAATGTTATGTTACATAACTTAAGTTTTGTTTCCAATACACACAACAAAAGGGAGAGAGAAAGTGGAATGATGAAAGAGAAAGAAAAATATGTGGACCCCACCTCTTTAATGTGTGTGTAAGAAAGTGAAGTTGTGTTATGTTACATGATAAACATAAAACCCATAAATTATTGTACATTTTTCATCTTAAACAATTCTTCAAAGTTAAACAAAATGAGATTTTCATTTGGAAGCTACGAGGATAAGGGAGGGCAAAAAAATTTAAATATTATTATTTCAATAAGAATTTACGAAAATGTAACATTTTGTAACCAATTTACGGATCTATAGCAATCAGTTGCGCCCAAAATTGGGCGAGACCGATTGCGCCTACTTTTAGGCGCATTAGGTTCGCTCCCAATTTTCAATAGTTTTGTCGTAATACTTCGAAAGGCTATAACTTTTGATTCGAGCATCTGAATCAGGTCATTTTTTTATTTCACATATCTTTTTGAGATCTACGCAATTAGATCTCATTGAAGGGGATTTGGTAAAAAAAAATTCCAAACTTTTTTCAAATTTGCAACAATAATGCCACTTGTAACACCCCATTCATAACCGATTTGATATAATACATTATGGTATTAAGCGCAACATAATTAATTAACAAAACAGAAGCTACTCTCGTAAATATCACAATTACTCTTAGGTAAATAGGTGAACTAATTTTTTTTTCTTTCCTTATGTATGTAATTAAACTCAACTTAAAGTGTAACATCCCAAGAGTTGGCAAGGGTAGGGAGTGATCGCCGGTGCGAAAGGGCACGGACAATGAGCGGCTCATGCCAAATCTTGCAGCTTGGGGGTTCATGAATGAATCAAATCAATACCCGAAAGAGAGGGATTCCAGAGACTGTGCTGGTATGAGACGGTACAGTTAGGAATGACTTATAAGAATTAATTGGTACTACCTATCTAACAAGATGCATCTACTTTTCGGTAGCCCGGATCGGAAGAACTCCACAATTAAGCGTGCTAGACTTGGAGCAATTCGGGGATTAGTGACCTCCTGGGATGTTTTCCCGGGAAGTGTGCGAGGGAAGACAAAGCACACTGAAAAGCCTCGTGTTAGTGTGTGGGGACAGTCATTGATTCTTGCAAGTTGTCAGGCGTTACATAAAGCATTCATGTTCAACATAGTTCACAAGTTCACTTAACTACTTCAAATCTTCAAAACTAAAAACTTCACTATACATTAAGTAATGAGTAATCATATTGGGACCCTAAATCATAGTGGGAGAGGTTATCTAACTCCCATAAGTTCCCATACCCATGAAATATCAACTAATAACACAGTAAAGCCCATAAGTCTTTCCCTTGAAGAACAATCAAAAGAAATGGACTCTATTGTCAAACTATGCACTAAACAGTCCTTACCATTTTCAGAATCGGTATTAACTCGCTTTATCATTAATTCTCATATTTTACTATGTTAAACTAGACATCTCAAGCTTTCCAACGACATATTATAAGCTTCGATTGGATCTATATAACTCAAGATACGTCTATCGCTAGCGAACTGCTTCAAACCAAACTTTCGGGAACATGGCAGCAACTTCAAATCAGAACTAGGAAAGTTTCATCGGGCAAAAAATTCTAAAATTTAGAGACAAGAAATTAGGTTCCTGTTTGAATACTGTATTTAAAAATAGCTTTTTGATTTTCAAAACAAAAAAAAAAACACATTTGATAAGGTCTGTTTTATAAAAATAATTTAAAAATTGTAATTGTTTTTTTATTTTTAGAATCAAACATGTCTGAGTTGTTTTTGTTTTGTGTTTTGACTTTTAACTTTCAAAACAAAAAAAATACAAAAAACACATGTTTCCATAACTATTCTACAAAATAATTTTAAGAACAAAGAAATTAGAATACAATCGAAAAGACCTTACACTCTTGGGTTTTAATTTGATATATAATATGCCATGTTTGGTTAAGGAATGAATGAGTTGTGGCCGTTACAAAGACTGGTCAGAATTTATCAGTACAAATTCGAACCTGGACAATGTTCCTTCTCTCGAAAACTGGGAATGACTCTCAACCCAGAAAATTCTCATATTTTAAAACATGAAAGTAGACATCTTAATCTTTAATTTAACACCTTACTCGTCTCATTTGATTAATAATTGAACAAGTTATGGATGTTCAAAGTTAATCCTTACATTTATATAACCAAGGCTAAAATTTACATCCTTTGCCTTTTGGTATTCAACTATCCAAGTATGGCAATCACGTACCACATCAATTAGAATAAAACGGATAGTATCTGGCTACACCACGAGGATTTGGGATACTTCCCAATCTCATTAAATACCTAATTGACAATTTATAATATCTCTTGCAAAGTCTTAGCCATTTCAAGGCTTAAATCCTAAAATCCATCCATGGATTCATATAACTCAGGCATCTTCATAGACTTCCATAAGGTATCATATTTTACATTCATTGTGAATTATCACAACTTCATTTACATGTCCCATAACATAAGGATTATAAGGTATAATACTCAAAACATAAACCAAATACATACATTATGATTACAAAGTTTTTGTCTAATAAATGTCATAGACTTACACAATAGCATGGCTTTACAAATGCAAATGGCTAATAACATATTTTCTCAAAACATATACATCATCAAAATAATCATATCTATAAGGCATAAGAGCCCTCTAGCTCTGTACTCACATCTTGCCTTGTGAGGTCCCACATCCTTCAACCGAGTACCTGAAATATGAACCCCAAACGAGATGAGATAAATATCTCAATAAACCCAGGTTCTTGGAGAATCTCTCTACCCATGAGTTCACTTCTAAAGGGATGTATAAATGATTATGGATCCGTGCAACAAATACACCTTGGATCCGTGCAACTAGTCCACCTTGGATCCGTGCTCCAAAAGCACAATGATAACTCCGGTGGGATGCCTCCCAAAAGTATTAGACTTCCAAGGGCTATCCCTCAATGGGTGAAATCCCCAAACAAAGTAAGTCCATGTTTCGATTAGTCAAAGAACTAAACAATTAAATCACACATATTCCACCCCCAGTGCTTGTCCAATGATGCACTAACCAATGACACAACAACTCTATATGAATGCAGTTATACTATGCAACTAACATACAAACAATCATCCAAACATATAACCATAGCCCTCTTGGACCATGGTGGAATAACCAAGAGGGATAAAACCCCCAAGAAACAAAAGTTTACCTCTTGTAGTCTTTCCTTTAGGAGATTTCTTCAAGCTCAAGCAATCTTCTCAACACACTATTTTAAACTCGTATCATAAAAATAGTTTTTCAATACACTATTTTAACTTTTGCATAATTGCATTTTTACTCAAAAACTTTCAATATTTGCAATTTTGCCCGAAAAGTGACCTTATTCACATATTAAATTTTTCATCTAATTAACCTCTTTTAATTTGACTCCTTAACTTCATGAGCTAATGGGCTTATGTGGAGTGTATCACATAATTAACTTTAAGTCCGTACAATTTTTACTAAATTACCATTTTGTCCCCTATGAGGACTTAACCCCACAATCAATATTCTTACTTAATTAACCCCTTAATTATGCATTAATCTCCAATTAATGTAATTTAATTATTTGGATTATTACACCAGCACAAGAGCATTTTACCTTCCAAATTTTTCCAAAAAAGTACAACATACATTTATTTGCTATGAATGTTTCTATTTATAATAGTGGTTTCTTCTTCGTCCACACGCACATGCAACAAAGGACAACATGATTATGATCTCATGCATGTTTATATTCCTCTCCATCCTGTGCATGGGGATGGAGAGGAAACCACTGTCATGATTAGGAGCATTCCGAGCAAATAAATGTATGTTGTCATTTTTTTGAAATTTTTTGGAAGATAAAATGCTCTTGAGTGGAACCTTTGTTGCAAATTCGAAAATTTGGAATTTTTTTACCAAAATACCCTTCAACGAGATGTCATTTCATAGATTTTTAAAATTTATGTGCAAAAAAACAAATCACCTGATTCGAACACCCAAGTTAAAAGTCATGCTCTTCCGAAGTTTTACGAAAATTTGTTGAAAAGTTTGTGCCATGTGTTATTAACCGGGTGAGTCGCACCCAGCCCCTAATGCGCCTAAAATTAGGCATAACTGGCCCTGCCCAATTTTGGACGAGATTGATTGTTATAGATCCGTAAATTGGTTACAAAATACTATGTTTTGGCAAATCCTTATTTAAATAATAATATTTAATATTCTTTTTGCCAATAATGGAGTGTGGGGACCGTAAGTCTAGTCAAGCCTTTAATATGGAGAAATTTAGGGTCTGCTTGTTAACTGTTTTGTAAAAAAGTTTTTTGTTTTTAAAAACAAAAAAATAAAAGAACTTGATTGAAGAGACTGTTTTCACTCATTGTGTTTTAAAAACCGTTTTTGTTTTTTGGTTTTAGAAACAGAAAAAGCAAAACAACTCTAGGGTGTTTTCCAAGGTTGTTTTCTGGTTTTTTGTAAAGTGCGGTGGCATTTTCGTAAATAAGGGGATTCATTAATGGCATTTTCGTAATTAGATCGATTTTTATTTTATTTTACATTATTTTGCGGTGGTAATTTTGTAAATACGGGGATTCATTAATGGCATTTTTGTAAATAACTACATCTTCCTTATAACTTTAAAACTAACCATATTCAAACAAGTTTTATTGTTTTTTTACTCTCAGAATCAGTTTTCAAATTTCATTCTCAAAACAGGTTTTAAAAACAAAAACACATTCAAACACACCCTTAGTTCTTAAAAGAACAAACTTGTTGTCTTTCTGTTGTGATATATGACTATTTGAACTTCGAATTGCAGTCAATTTGTGCATCTGTAAAAGACAGTCATAAATTAACTTTGTTTTTGTTCTAAGCATACTTAGTAAGCAGCATTAATAAGGAGAGGCTCAATAAAATGTTTTTTTCTTTCTTGTACGGGATCAATTTCATTATATATTAGATGATTTACAGTCTCATTAACTAAATATTTAATAGTAGCTTTTGCTAATTAAAGACTTACTAAGTAAAGATTTGTGATTAATCATTAATAAATAAATCAGAATATGAAGTATAAGAGACTAAAACAATTACAAATAAAAACTATAATTGACTCAGAAAACAATCAAAACTTGATGGCATTGCCTACTTCTTTCCATATATAATCACTACCAATCACTATTATTTGTTATTCTTACATTGTTAAAGTTGCATACCATAGCCTCATAGGGCGGTCTATCAATCATTTATATTCATTATTTATTTTATGAAAAAAAAGTTTTTCATTTTGAAAGATATAACATTATGTCATTTTAAATGAAATATAGTGTTTCACTATAATATTTAATCAATTAAAAAATAAAAAATAAATTCTGATAAATAAAAAATAATAATTAGTTAAATATTAAGAATAAGTTATGCTTACTATCATTTTTTCTTAGTATCTATTACTACCAACTTTGTTACTGTTGGATCAAAATCAAATCAACGGTTCTCACTTAATGTTATTTTGTAACCGTTGATTTCATTTTGATCCAACGATAATAAAGTTAATAATAAGTATAACCTCCCCTAAATGTTACAGTGGAACACTATATTTTAGTTAAAAGTTCACACTGTTATGTTGTTTAAAAGAACAACATAACTAGTAATCTGAGTTTGAGTTCCTCGGAACGCAACTGTGTTAAAACTTAATAGGAAAAACTTTGTCTCCCATGTGATCTTACCCAACTCAAATCGAATTAGTTGAGTAATTGACGAAGTAATGGATAATGTTAAAAAAAATTCCCCTATTTTATATGTTGCTGAGAAAGACCATATGGTAGAGTTCTTTATAATATATTATGAGACAAGTTATATTTACAAACTTTTTTTGTTTACAAACTCTTACAAACTACACTATGTTCTCGCGGGAGAACACTAGGTTTCATTATGTTCTCCTGGGAGAAGATAGTGTAATTTGTAAAAATTTGTTAAAAAATTTTGTAAACGGATCCTTCCCATATATTATACCTGATGAATTGATTTCCATGTTGAAGATGATATAATGCTATGCTGTTTTGTTCTTCTCAAATTTTGATTCCCCCTATCCTAAAAGAAGTAATATATATTGTTGCTATGTATATTAATACTTGGAATCGAGTCAAGAGGAACCATAGTCAAAGGTTAATTTAGATCATAGATTTTATTTTTATCTTTTCTCAACAATGAAGGTGACATGCCATACCTTGTTCCATATTAAGGAGTAAGGGATAAATACGGCAATTGCTTCAAGATCTCCAACTACAGGAATTGCAAAAACAATTTTTTTACAAGTCAGGCATATGTTTTAGCCGCTGAGTAAATTTGCTCTACTTTTTTTCATCTGTTTTTAATTTCCAGATGCTTGATTAACAGGGAGTTATTTGTGGAACAAAAACATTGACAAAAATAAAAAAAGTATACATAGGATACAAATGAATTCCACAATATATAATACAAAGAAATGCTCATGCTTCAAACTGCATGACATCTTTGTTGAAAATATAAGAGCTGCACACATTCTAGTCCTCTAGCAGATCTTTCCCCATTTCAACTAACTGTTGAGCTCCTTGAATGGCGATCTTATATCAGAAATAGCGTCAAGTTTCTTTATCCTAGTAGGAGAATGAATAAACATATTCTCTTTTACAAGGAAATCATCATCCTTTTTCAAATTCATTCCTGGACAATCATTCTCAAAAGACTGCACCATGCATCTCAACATGTCCATTAGTTGAGTGTCTGAAGTAGAGAACTCACAGATTTTATCACCGAATTCCTGAACAAAAGCCAACAAGTTTTCCCTTTCTGATGACAGTCGTGTGGCATTTTCAAGTAGATTTCTATTCTCCATCTTGAGTTTCTGAAGCAAAGTGTCTGAATCTCTGAGCTTAGCCTCCATTTGATCATTCAACTCCTTTACTTTTAACTGTTTCGATTGGTTCCAGTTTTCCTCCTGCAATTTCAGTTTCTTCTGTATTGCATAGATATCATTCTGAAGTTCCACTATCATCAGCTTCTTCTCTTCAATTTCAACTGCTGCTAGAATCTGAGATGCCATGATCTTATCACAAACTTCCTGGATGAGTTTAATTTCAGCCTGTTTCTCAGCAAGCTGTGAAGAAAAGGTGGTCAACGAGCTAGTGAACTGCTCTTCCAAAGAAGTCAACTGCTTCATGAGTTCATTCTCATGCTCTTTCATAGTGCCTTTTGCAATCACATAACTTTCAATTTCCCTTTTAAATGATTCTTGTTCCAGGCAAACAACCTCTTTCTGGAGCTCCTCTAGGACCTTGTCCTTCTCCTCTGTGATCTGGAGATATCTGGCATTATCAGACTCAAAGGACACAGATGATTCTCCCCCACTTGCTGGAACAGAAGCTAATGTCGTCTCCGTTGCTCTTAGCTCTTTTTCCAATAGCACAACATGTTGCTGCAGATAGTCTAGTTTCCTCTCTTTCTCTTCCAACTTATAAACCAAGCTATCCTTCTCTTGCTTGAGGCTTTCACCATCATCTACTTGTGCAAGAAGTGAAGCTTCTAGTTCCTTACGCATCACATGATTTTCTTCAAGATCTTTTTTTAAACGTTCAACAATTGACTTCCATATTTGCAATTCAAATTCCATTTCATTCCTTTCACATATTCTCTCATCCAATTCAACGATAGCACTGTCTAAAGCATCATGCTGTTCTTTTAATTCCCATTCCATCTGCAAAACCTTCTCTTTGAGGATCATCTGACACATAGTTGATTCCTCCAGCATTTCCTTGTGCCCATCAAGTTCACTTTGCAGCGAGTGCTGCAGTTCTTTGTTGAATCCATAGGATTCAATCTCCCTCGTCAAACATGCAGTTCTCTCACGCTCTTCATTTATGCCATTCTGGGCACTGATCAAAGCAGCATCTTTCATCTCCAGCTGCTTCAACAGTTGAAAGATCTTCCTTCCACTCTCTTTGTTGATTAGATCCATCTCGTCTTTATGGTTGGCAAGCTTCAATTGAGCCTCAGAAATTCCCTGTTTTAACACTAGCAGCATCACAGACATCTCCTCATTCAGCAACTTCATCTCAATGGTTAAAGAATGAGACCTTTCCAACTCCATCTGAAGCTCTTCCACTGCTGCAATTTTAGTTTCCAACTCCATCTGACAGCTATTCAGTTCTCCTGTCAATTGTTCTAGCTGAAGGTTCCATTCAGCTTCTTTAACCTTAAAAGCTGAGGCACACTCTTTATGAGTTTGTTCCAAATTTCTGAGCTTGGACCCCAACTTTGATTTTGAATATGAAGCTCCTGCTTCTTGAATTTGAGCTTCCTGGAATTCTTTGAGGGACATCCGTAACTCTTGATTTTCTTGCTCTAGCTTCTCAATTCTGTACTTCGATTCTTTATGATATGCCTCTTTAGTTTTCAGTGCATATCTCAAATCTGCAATATCTTTGTCACGCTGAGAGTTTAAGCTATCAAGCTGTAACCTAGCATCTTGGTACTCACTACTGGCATTAACAAGCTGCTGCTTAAATTCAGAAACTTCAACTTCAAGTCGCTTTTTCTGGCTTTCTACATGAGCAAGAGCTTGGTGGCATGTCTTTAACTGACTCAGCAGGTCCTCTGATATTCTGACCTGAGAGTCTAACTTAATCTGCAGAGAAGAAATCTCATCAAGCAATGTAGATTTTTCCATCTCCCACTCCTGTTTGCTAGACCTAAACTGGTGTTTAAGTTTTTCATGTGCTTCTTCTAGATGTTTAAACTGTTCCTTCTTCCATTTTAATTGATCTTTCACCTTTCCATTTTCCTCCTCTAACTTCTGGAACATGTCATCTCTTTCTCTTAGTTCCTTGGATGCCTTTAAATTTTTCTCTGTTTCCGAACACTTCTTTGAAACTGAAAGACAACCTTTTAGGCTTTCAATCTCTTGTCTGTAATGATAAATCTGTTGTTCTTGGTTCTCAGCCTTCTCATTTGCCTCCTCTAACGCCAATAGCAACCCTCTTTTTTCATCTTCCCACTTTTTAAACTTGTCATCACAATCCACTCTAAGTTTATCATTTGCAGCACTGAGATGCATGATGACAGAATCTTTTTTATTCAAATTCACCTTGAGATCTTCACACACCTGCTTAGCCTCAGAAATTTCATCTGCTTTTTGAAGCAGTTCTTGATCCAGCTTCTCAGCCTTGAACTTTGCTTCCTGTATCTGATTGACATGTGCATTGTGGGATTTCTTCAAGTTATCAAGTGAATCTGTCTTGGCTCTTAGTTCTGCCTTTAGATTCTCGATTTCAGCTTTAGCTTCATCCAGCTCTTCATAAACCTTGTCCATTTCTTTTTACATGAATGACATAAGAAAAACCTGTTTATACCAGCAGCATGCAAAATAAAAAAACAAGAAATGTTATATGCCCCCAGATCAAAACCAAGAAAAAGAAAAAGAAAACAAAAGATCAAAAATGAAAAGGCATTGCACATCAAGAGACATACAGATTAGAGTAGAAACACAAACTAGGCATTTCATTTTACTTTTTAGATTAACTCTAACTCTCTACACTGCCAAATATAAAGAGGTTAAGACACAACATTTTGACCGAACAAGGAACATGTTATTCAAATATGAAAGCACTTACTAGGAAAACTATATGTCATGATCAATCATCAAGAAACAAAAATATCATTCCAGGTCATTAAAAGACACCACGTGAGATGGGGCTGGTCCTTGTGGAAAAGCATACCCCAAATACCCAAAAATTTGAAGGAAGGACATTATAGACTCACTAATTTATATATATTACACACGTTACTTGACTCGCTTAAGCATATAAAGAGGAAAGGAACTCCAACATTATCATAAAGTACTCAGATACCTGAAAGATTTTGAAAAGATACACAAGAAGAAATTACATATACACAAAACCTGCATAAGATTCTAGAACAATAAATTATCAGATTTAGCCTTAATAAATTATCTGATTTTATATATATTTCTTTTTCAATTTATCAAATTAAATGCCATTGAACGAAACATATACAACATTAAACGAACGCAAATATTAATCCATGGGTTCTAGTTTTGGACAAGAAGATCAAATCACAGAGAAACTAACCTGACTTGGAGAACAGAAGAAAGTGTTGTATTGGTGTGCGATTTGGTGGCTGAAAATGGTGAATGAGAGAAATGAATCCCAAGTTACCGTTATAGTTCAGTGCACCAACCGCTTTTCACGTGAGAAAAAAAGAAAGAATAAAGAATAAAGAAAAAAAGAAGTAGTTAGGTTATGGAAATTGCATTATCCTGTTTTTGAAATGAAAAACTAGCCGTTGAAGCTAGTCGTCTCGTTTTATTTTATATGGGCCCAAATTTGGTCTCAGTAGTTGAACTTCAGGCCCATATGACCAACCAAAACATCCTCATGCGAATTGCTAAGAGACTTTTTATGCGTAGTAAAGTAGTAGTGTACTATATTTAATGGGAATAACATCTCTCGTTTTAAACGATATAAGCTTATATCATTTTAGATCTTAACCGTTGATTTTTATTCATCAACGGTTATAATTTATTGGATCAAAATTATTAATTAATTAATAATAAATTTGGCATATTAAGTTTGACCCAGTAGATTATAACCGTTGATGAACGAAAATCAACAATTAAGATTTAAAATGATATAAGGTTATATCCTTTAAAAAGATAGATGTTTTTTCCATATTTAATTACACCATTCAAATTTTATTTTAAAGTTAATTTAACAATCTATATTATCATTTTACAAAAAAAAAAAAAAACTATATTATCTGTTTAATAAATCCATAGAAAATAAAAATTCATTTGTATGTATACGCTCATTAAAATTGGATTCATGTCATGTTAAGAATGTAATCTTATTAAGTTACAAATATAGGGAGAAGATCAAAAATTTCATGCTCTCCCTTTATCCTTTTATGTCACTGATAAAATTTCTAAACCATATTTAGATAACTGGAAATATATGGCGTTAATGAATTTGACGGCTCAGAGGACGAGCTTTAGAGAAAAAATTGGAGTTATAACTATTGATTTTAAGGATATTTGTTAAAATTAAGTTGTGGGAAAATTGACTTTTAATTTATAAGAAATGTGAAGAAGAGGTGAATAAAAAAAAATAAGTAAAAACTGAAAACCCATCTATATAACAATAAGAAGAGGGGCAAAAACTTACAAAGAAATAAAGAATGACAATATAAAAAATCTTTCACAAAACATTTCATAAGTTAGCTAAATCTACTAATTACGAAATTTGCATAATCAAATATATATATATATATATATATATATATATATATATATATATATAGAGGTAGGATCCTTTGACATCAGTGTCAAATTTCAAATTTGACACCTCATCGCCTTTATATAAAAAAATAACAACGACTCTGATTTGTAAGCATGTGACACCATTGATCTTTTTTGATCTAACGACTCTCGGATGAGGTGTCAAATTTGAAATTTGACACTGGTGTCTATAACACCTCACAATTTTAAATCAAGTAATTAAAATACTAGGTGAGCAATCAAGTGATGGATTAGTGAAAATCCTAAAGATTAGGCCAAAATACAAAGAAAGGGCAAAAACAGTAATTAGCCAACACGCAACCCTAGGCAGATAAAAATTGAGTAGAAGGTCTCATATGGTAAAAATAACCCTGGAAATGGGTTCAGAACGAAAAATCGAGTGGATAGACAAGTTTCAGAAAAATCAGTGAATAGTGTTTTTCGCGGGTAAAAATACCGCGTTCCGATTGCACCGTAAAACGTGCCAGGGGAATTTTGAGATCTAGGTTTCAAATATGAGTTACAAATGGTCTAATGAGTTAGGAAATATGATTGTTGATGAAATTTGATGAAAGTAAGTCATTTTGGGGAAACGTGCCAACGGCGCGCGCGATAGCTTAAAAAAGTGTTTTCTCTGAACGAATGGAGGACTCTGAATTCATCTGATCAAGCCTAATTAAAGTGGAATAGTTAATGTTAAAAATTAGAGTTTCTAAATAGGCTTTGAATTTACGGACGTTTAGTGAGAGTTTTGACACGTTTTGAATCGCGTGAGGTGACGTGGGACCCACCCCACTTGAAAGTCACTTAAACATCTCATCACTCCACTATTCATCATCACCCTCACTCTCTTCTCTCTCCCCAAACCCGAGTCAGCCCCCCTCCCCCTTCAACACTATGCAAAAATTTCTTCTCACCATTAATCACTCATTTCTCCACCAAATCACTTGATTCTTGTGTTGAAATTTGTTGGGAAGAACCTTCTAAACCCATTGGTACCCTTCTTGAGCCTTGAAATCGCGTGTGGGAGGAGATCCTGCCCATTTTCAGCCGCGACTTGGAGGGGAATTTTGGTGTTCATGGAGCTTTGGAATGCTCCAATGGTGGAGTATGTGTAAGAGGAGCTCATTGCCTAACATTTGAGTGAGTTGTTACACCTTTTCATTGGTTGATTCATGAGATTGGATTTTGAAAACCTAAAGCTTTGAATTGATGAATTGCGATGTTAGAGAGCTCAATTTGAAAATGTGTATTAGATGATAATGTGTTAGAATGATGTATTAAAGCTAGAAATGCGATGAAATTTATTGGTGAAAATTGATGAATTTAACTTAGAGAAAATTGATGATCATGATTTTGGACTTTTGAATTTTGGTGTTGAGACTTGTTTGACGAATTGTGGCATGATGGTATGATGATATAATAGGTTAGGTTGTGTGAAGGTTGGAGTGATTAAAATTGAATGGAAATTCCTTGGAATGCCACAGGGTAAAATTCGAACCTTTGAGGAAAAATTGAGGAATTGATGTTGAAAAATGATTTGGATGATGATTTGTGTAGTTATATGGTGCTTAGATGGGTTGTGATGTGATTGGAGAGTGTTTGAATCAATGGGAAAAATGAATTGTGTTTAGAGACCTAAATGAGCCTAAAGTGAAATATTTCGCAAAACGATGCGTAAATGTCGTAAAACGAAAAAAAGACAATTGAACTAGCCTCTAAACAACCTAAGGGAGTGTTATAAAATGAGAAAGAAAATTTAGAAAAATAAATCCCCAATTAACACCTATATGGCCGAACCTCCAAGGGAAAAAGGGGAGATTTTGCGATTTTCGCGTTCTGATGTAATTTGACGCGAAAATGACGAACCGACACTTGAATTGGCCTATTGACAACCTTATGAGACGTAACAAAATGAGAAAGAAAATTTAGAAAAATAAATCTCAAAATTACACTTCAATGGCCGAACCATCAAGGGAGGATGGGGATGATTTTTGTGATTTTGCGTTTTGATGATATTTGACGCGTACTGATGGATGTACGTAATTGTATAGGTTGTCGTACGTTGACTTGAATCCCGAAACTTGAATCTGGGAGTTACCCTTGGTCTTGGACCAAGTGGATTGAGGTATGTATTTAGTTCAATGCATGTATAATTGTAAATTAGCATGTACTGTTTGAATTATAAGAGATTGAGAATGTCCTCTGTGTAGGCATTCCGCTGTGTACCAAGTTGAGGGATAAGGTGCTGCGGAGCTAGTGAGGAAATTACTTAAGGTAACCTCTTGGTACTGGGGCTTGTTCCTCTTTTCTGTTCCACCTTGCCAGTTGATGGAAACGGTAGGAAGTGTGTATGAATAGTATAGAACACATGAGCATGCATGCATTATTGCTATGGGTACTGCGATACCGAGTCTCTGGCCAGTAGACAGTTTTATTAGCCTTCGGGAAGTTTCGGACTTCCGCTGGATAGGTCTCCAGGAGGGAGTTCCAGTTGACTGCGTGTCATGGTGTGTGATCCGGGTAGGAGCACACTAGGAATGTCTTTGGCGTTTTGGTTGGTTTGGGCATCATGGTTGTGGTTTCTGTGAACACACCTTGGATGATACCCATAGGCTTATATATGCCCAGGGCGTACGTGAAATTGGGGTTACCATCCCGTATCGTCGTAGTTTGTTTCTTTATATTCCCCATTTCTCTAAATCCCTTGCTATATCCCGTTTTCAAAGTGGTTGTTTTATTCTATTGATATGCATCGAAGTGAACCATTAAGTGGAGTTTTCTCCAGAACCTCTTGGTTACCGAGATATATTCGTATATCTCACCCCGTCTCGGGGCATTTATTTCAAGAGGTAGCAGTGGAGCCGGAACAACGGGCAAGAGGCCCGCAGAGTGAGCCGTGGAGTGCTTCATATTTTGCTTTTGTTGGCCGTGTGGCCTAGGCTAGACTTAGGGCATGAATATCTCATATGTATGTAGTATGAGCTTCATTAGCATATTTGTTCATGCCATTTTGC